AATTAGTAAATATGGCACGCCAAATTCACAAAAATGAGATAAACCTAGTTTCACAATTGATAAACTAGGTTTATCGACTGTAAATATATTACAAAAAGCTATAGTTAACGATTTGTTAAGTTTTTGCATCTGTAAAACTATGTTTAACGGTTGTTTATACTTTAAATTTTTTTCTGTCTTAATAAGCGTTAACAATAGATTTTGTTGATAAACATAGATTCATTTTGTAAACTATAGTTTACAATAGTAAACTATGGTTAAGTGTTGTTAATCATAGTTTCACATATCGTGAAACTATATTTATCAGATCGTTAACTATAGTTAACGGTATGTAAACTATAGTTTACAAATCGTGAAACTGTATTTATCAGATAATCTATGTTTTGCAATCGCAAATGATAGTTTTTTTTATAGTTTACGGTTGTGAAACATAGATTATCGCGTTAACTATAGTTTACAGATGTAAAATATAGATTAACGTTGTTAACTATAGTTTACAGTCCGTAAACTATAGTTTACAACCGATAAACCTTGTTTATCGATTGTGAAACTATGATTTGCTCATTTTTGTGAATTTGGCGTGCCATATGTAAAATATAGATTAACGTTGTTAACTATAGTTAACAGTCCGTAAACTATAGTTTACAACCGATAAACATAGTTTGTCGACTGTGAAACTATGTTTTGCTCATTTTTGTGAATTTGGCGTGCCATTTATACATATCAACAAAATTTACCCTACATGCGGGCGATTTCATCGAAATATTTTCAAATCGGGGGCACATATAAATTAAATGGAAATATGAAAAGGAAGAGGAATGTGTAACAAATTTTATTAATGTATGCCTAATTGATATTTAAATGCTTTAAATAAATAATCGAGCGAAGTTGAAGCGAGGTGATCGAGGCGGATGGTGAGAAAAGAGTTGCAAGCCTTCTCTCTTATTATGTATTGATCAGTCGAAAACGATGTATTTAAAAACAGCATATAGAGACAAAAGAGTTACATTATTGATAACATATATTGCATATCAGAATAGAAAAATAGGAAAAAGATGACTCGAACCCATATTTAAAAAATAAAAAAATGAAAGGGGGGTCCATACCCCAAGTGCCTGTGCCGTAAACGGCAAATTTATGTCAAACAAATAACCTATAAATTCGATATAAATCAGATATAAAAGCAATTTTCTTGATATAAAAGTGATATCTACATTTGATAAAACTTTATAGTAAACTATGATATTTTCATGAATCATGCACACCCTCATACGGAAGCCCATTTAGGACCTATCGAAAAATATTTTTGAATCCGATATAACGAATTGTCGAATTTGTTATAACGAATTTAATTCGTTATAACAATTTCTTTGAATTCGTTATAATGAATTTACTATGTCGTAACAAATTTGTTGAATTCATTATAACGAATACTTTAATTTGTTATAATAAATTAAATTCGTTGAAACGAATTCTAAAATTTGTTATAACAAATTAAATTCGTTTAAAGAAGTTCCAAGGTTTGTTATAACGAATTAAGTTCGTTTAATCAAATTCAATAATCAGGGCCTATCGAAAAATATTTATAAATTCGATGTAACGATTTTTCGAATTCGTTTTAACGAATTTAAATCGTTATAACAAATTATGGAAGTCGTTTAAACAAATTCAATTCGTTATAACAAGTTTTGCAATCTGTTAAAACGAGTTTAATTCGTATTAACAAGTTTTTGAAATCCTTATAACGAAATCAACAAATTTGTCATAACGGATTAAATTCATCACAACCAATTCAAAGAAATTGTTATAACGAATTAATTTCGTTATAACACACAAATTCGACAATTCGTTATATCGGATTCAAAAATATTTTCGATAGGTCCTAAATGGGCTTCCGTACCCTCAGAACTGGCACGGGTGCAGATAATACAACTTTTATTTGCAGTTATGTTGAAATATCGGCTTTAAAACTAAAAAATAAAAACTTTTTTCCACTTAATTAACAAATGGAAACTTCATCTATGATCGAATAAAGGAGTTTTTGTAATAGTTTCAATATTCAGGCAGGTTTGAAATTGCTATATTTGATAAAATTCCAAAAACCCTAAATGTTTTTGGTTATTTAAAATTTGAGTGATCTTTTTGGAAATTTGAATTTTGAACATATTTTAAAAAGTCAAAATCGATCAAATTTTAAACATGTTAAATTAAACGTTTTTTAACATTTGTAGAAATTTGAACTAACATATAAAAATTCTTAAGTCTTAAGCATTTTAGGAATTTATATTGTTAATATGAGTGTTACACGGACCAGACAGTGTCCGTGTTTTACTCGCATACACATTTCTTTTCATACAAATTTCATACAGTTGTAGGCCTAGTCCATTATTTACACAATGAGTCATGATGAGTTGTCTATGGCATAGGCACACCCCATCTTAATTGTTAAAAAAAATATCTCTACTATACTATAAACAAATAGTATAGTAGAGATATTTTTTTTTAACAATTAAGATGGGGTGTGCCTATGGTCTATGGGTTTTTTTTCGCATGGCGGGTGTGATCGGTCGACAACTGATCACTCCTCCTATTGCACCTGATCCTAGCTGCAGATCTGTAGCGTTATGGTTTTACATATTTGCCTGTTATGGTCAAACACAAATGTAAAACCATGACGCTACAGATCTGCAGCTAACCTGATGCCACCTCTGAAATTTTACATGTGTTTTCTCTGCTCCGGATTTGTACATCTTGCATGTAATTCCTTGAATGAACTCTTGAGCTATTTTATTTAACGGAATTTTGTCATCTATCCGGATTTCTTTTCGGTTCTAAAACTAGTGAGATATATAGAGTTTCCAGTTTGAGAAAGAAGCGACAAAATGGTATGGAAAATATAATGTGTGATTTTCTTTTTCCTTCAGTCTTGTAGATGTGTCTCCTTCAGTGCAATAGCAATCACAGACTTTATTTGAGCTTTGTCTTATAGAAATTTCATATTCAAATATCATCAATATAAGGCGTATGTAAATTCACACAAAGTGATTCACTTACCAGTCTAGTCGAACCCTCAAACGGGGGTATACCCTCAAACGAGGGTTTTCCTTCCCTTAATGCAACGCGCTAAAGCGGAAGTGGAATTAAAGAACGATAACTCTTCTTATTTAAAAAATAAAATAAATATTTTTTTTAAAAATCACAAACATACAAAATGAATTGTCTACACCTTTGTTTTCAATTAAAAAATAAAAATAATTTTTTTTTCGTTTTTATTTACCTCATTTCTGAAGCGCAAAAGTTTGTTTACAGGACAGAACATGTTAATTACACAAAATTTGTAATACCTGGGAAGGAATTATATGTGGTTCAACATTAAACAAAACATTGTTTGTTTTTTCATCCGTTTTATTAAATTATGAATAAAAAATCAAGCATGGAGGTCAAGGCACAGAATACGCTAACTTTGCCAGAGAAAAGTCTCAATTTTTGCAATAAACATATAAATTTTTGCAATACAATCTCTTTAAACATCTTTAATCTATCAAATTTGAGTACATACAGAGCTACGAAATAATCCATCACTTTGCACAAGCATATTTTGTGGACCACACGTTTTTCCTTGAAAACGGTACTTTTTTAAGTGTCTGCGCATGCGCGTACCCCCGTTTGAGGGTACGGTTTTCCTACTTCCGTTTACCCCCGTTTGAGGGTTCGACTAGACTGCTTACGAAACTTTTTTTTTCGGGGTGTCCAAACACAGGCACCTGATTTACCTATTTTTCTTCTAATGGAAAGAATATACCCCTACCTAATAAATCACTTATTAGGTAGGGGTATATATATATATTTTTTTAAAGAAAATTAATGAAGATCAGATGTCTGTGTGTTCAGAATATGTAACATTGAGCATGTTGAGTTTTTATTGTTTTTTTTATCAGCTATATAGTTTGCTTTAGCTATATAGCTTTATTAAGCTACTCAGAATAGCTTGATTTAGCTATTTAAGACACTTTTTTCCCCAATAGGTTATTTTGCAGCATGTACAAAAAGTTGCACCAAAGTGCATTGATAACTCTTCAGAATACAATGCATGCAAAAATCACTCACCAAACTTCATCTCCTTGAAAGACTTTAGACTCAAAGTTCTTAAAGTTGTGGGGCTATTGATGAGTGACCATATACAGTTACTTCTTGAATGAAATTATAAAAAGGTCAGTTGCTTTATTCTAACTATTCCAACTCATTGAAAATCAAATAGGAGAATGTAAGCTTTTTTTGTGGGGGGATAGCCTTAAGTATATTTTTTGCGTAAACATTTAATTAAAGACACAGTTTTTTTTACCGTATGGTTATCTGTGGAGGGGGAGTAGTCATGGTAACAGTATTGTTATTTACCTGGAGACCCCCAATACTCAAGATGTCAAAAATCTATGTACACATTGCATTACACAGGAAGTCTGTGTTGGTAATCAGGGTAACATTACATATTTCATGTCTAAAAATATAATTTTATTTGGTGGACTGCAGTTACGGAAATAGAGTTTCTGTGGACGGCTTTCAAATTCTACAGATATCTTAGACAATATTGTTAACAAGTATACTAATTAGCTGTGAAGATTGAAAACAATTATTTTATGAAGTCAAATTCCCAATAGTAAAACTTGATAACTTTGAAGATGGTCCCCTAAGAAATCAGGATGGTAAACATTCAATTTTAATTAATCTTTAAACAATAAACATAAAAGTAAACATTATTCAAGAAACTTTATCCAAAATTCGTAGGGTAGAAATAAATGCAGTTAGACTTGGCCTTGTTAAAAAGTGGGAATAGGTAGAAGACAAGGTGACAAGAGAGTGTGCTGCACCTGATTTTAAAAGTTCAGCACTTTCCTAAGTACAATACTTTGACTAAGGAAGTCTTTAACATTGTGTTAATTAAATTATTTTTCATACTTTTTTGATTTTTTAGGACTGTTCATGATATTTGACATTGAGTTCTATTTACTGTAATAAGTCTCAGTGATACATTAATTGACCTAACATGGAAAATGAAACAAAGCATCTCAACAGTGAGACATGTAGCAATGGAATTGTTGTGGAACAGCATCTTCCAAATGAAAGTGAACATGATTTAAGGCTGATGGTTAATGGAGTGGAATTCCAATGTAATAAGCTACAAATGATGGAGAACTGTGAGTTTTTTAGAGGCATGTTTGAGAGCAACATGAGGGAAGCTAGGTCTGACTGTGTTCAGCTGGAGGAATCAGACATAGAGACAATGTCAGCTGTGATTAGCTACTGTATGACTGGTGAGATACAGCTGTCCATACAGAAAATTCACAGGGTCGCAGAACTGGCCTGCAAATATCAGGTTCTTGTATTATAATCTACTCTTTTAAAGGATTGTCAATGAAATACAGAGTACAAAATTTAAAAATATTATATAAACACATGGTGTTAATGAAGTCTCTTCTGAAGCATCAAATAAAATTTCATTTTCAGGTGTCTAAACTGATTGAAAAGTGCAGCATCTATCTACTGGTAGGTAAATCATTTAATATAATGTATATTGTTTGTAAATATAAATACATTTCATAGATAGTTTTTTTGTTTGTTTATACTGATAAAACATTTCAGGTATCTTATCAAATTAATTTTTATTGTCATTCATGTATAAAAAGTGCAGGAAAAGCTTCAAAAAATAATTTTTGGGTTCATTAAACAATACCGCGGTAATTTATTTCTGAAGAGCTTAAAACTGTCTTGCACTCTGTACCATTTTGTTCTGTTTATTACATAAGGAATCCATGAATGCTAACAACTGTATCTCTACCATGTTATTTGCTCACAACATCTATCTCAAAGAAGCATACAACAAATCCAAGGTCTATGTTCTTTGGAATTTTCTGAAGTTGCTTGAAAATGAGGAATTCTTAGAAATGGAAGTTTCTGATTTAAAGACAATCATTAGTGATTTTCAGTTGAATGTTAAATGTGAGTTAGAAACCTTAAAAGCTGTGACGTGTTGGATTAACCATAGAAGGACAGAGAGAATTCATTTGTTATCAGAAATTCTCTTGGAGTCCAGTCTCTTAGATTTCTGTACTGACCAGGACCTGGAAATGATGAGGCAGAATCCAGATATCATTGAGAACTGTAATAGTGATGTCAAATCCAGGCTAATGGCAGCAAAGTGTCACAGAAGGGTACATGTAATTAAAAACTTCATGCCTTGTATCAGAAATTTTTAGAAACTATTCAAACCTTACAGGATCAATATGATAAGGATAGATTTTTATAATAGTCCTGTTTACATGAAAAGTCTACTTTATTCACTTTGTTTGAATTTAGATTTAAAAAAAGAATCTAAATACAATTTTATGGCAATAAAAAAAATCACTCTTCAAGATGTGTCATATTTTTCCCTTAATAATTTGCAACTATTTATTATATCTTTCTAGAAGAGGCGGTACACCCCACATCAGATTGTTTCTGTGGGTGTACACATGGAGAGTGACTCTGATGAAGATGATGACAGGGAATCCAAATCCAATCCTCGACAGATCGTATCTTACGACGTAGATAAAAGTCAAACAATGCACTATGCTGACACACCTGATGGATGTCTGGTATCCCATGATGCTCTGATAGGAAAAAAAGGATACAGTGTCTGTGTCCAAGGTCTGTATTTTTTAGCTGAGAAATTTTGTAATGCCCACTGCAATAAATTATGTGTACATGTTATAGGGGGAGGGATGTAGATGTATAATGGACTTACCATTCCCACCTGCCCATACTATTACAGTGTATATCATACTGTAGATTCCTTATTTTTTGCTAGTACTTATTATGGCGAGATAGCTCTTTAACATCAAATTGCGAAAATGATAATTTGTGAATGGGCGGTTGATCAAGAGAACTCACATGAATTTCAGCACCATGAAAATAAGAGTGAGTAATTTTTGAGTGACACACCTCACAAAATTATGCAATAAATTATTCTTCCTGTATAATTAGGAGTCTACAGTAGGGTATTCAAGGTATGCTCAGCTTTAAGATTATATTTCGGCCTATTAATTTCAGGGGTTTTCCCGACCAAACTTTGGGAGAACATGCTTTTCTCAATACTGACTTTATGAGATGCTACATCTGTTGTAGATTTAATTTAACAGTTTTTCTTGATACTGGAATTGACTTTTTTTTAATGCTGGTCACTTTTTAGTTCATTGTCAGGGATTTCAAATTTGGAGAAATGATGCCTCTGCATAGGTTTGCAATCGATAAAAGTTATGCAATGAGAGTTAAAATGCAGGGTAAATGTTTCTAAAATCCATACTTGAATTCATATTCCTTCAAATACCAAAACTAAAAAAGAACATTTCATATGAAGTGTATGTTTTTTGAGTAATTACATTGAGAAAAATGTATATCATGTTGTCATAGTTGTCTCATAATCAGGGATATACAGTTTATGATTCCTGTATTTTCAGAAGAGAATATGTTTGTGAGTGGAGGGGAGAGTATGCTGGGGAAAAACACCTGGATGATGGAGATTTGGTGTTACAACTCATTTGAAAAGACCTGGAGTGTAGTGGGAAAGCTGAGAGCACCTAGAAGACATCATGCCTCTTGCATTCTGGGAGATTCCTCACTGCTTCTGATTGGTGGATTTGGCAGATACAGATATCGACTGGACTCAGTTGAAAAATGGAATTATCAGACTGGTAATATTAAATTTTGATCTGCAGAACACAATTATATTGTTCTGATCATATTTTGGAACCTGTCTTTTAATGTCTCCTGACTTTTCATTCTCTCCATTCTCCATTTTTGTATTACCATCCTCTCAGTCAGAACTACATGTAAATTGTCATTTAAACCAAATGTTGCTTCAAATACACTTAATAATTTAAATAATTCTAAATCCTTCTTTGTGTTTGATTCATGTGAACAAACTTGCAAGGATAGAAGATCATGCTTTGATTTACAAGTACCATACATCAATTTGTGTGAAAATAATGAGGCTTAAATTTTGATGTAGCAGATAATTCCCCAAATGGCTTGGTGATATCAGTCATTATTGAGAGCTATACACTGGCTGCTGCAAATGATTTCCAAGTTATTTCAAATCCTACATTTATCAAACATACATATGTACCTGTATTCTCCATAGGAGATCCATATAGCCAGCCCATGGTACATGGTACAAAGGTCTAGAGTTGTGCAAGTAGTCTGTATATTCTTTTTGGTCCAGGGTAAAGCAGGTATCACATATTTCCAAAATATCGATCCAAACTTCCATAAAACTATATTTTAGCATATCTATTCTCAAGTTCGAATTTCATATGGAGTTACTCAATATTTTAGCGTATGCTTTTCATTTGTCATGGAAATCATTGTGAATATTCTTTACAGAAGAGTGGCATGACCTGGCCTCCTTACCTGAGAGGATGGTCAACATCACAGCCTGTCAGTGTAATAACCGGGTGTTTGTCATCAATATTGGGTCGCTGTCTTCCATTTTGTCCTACAGCCCTGAATCTGACCAGTGGACACATCACCCTGTACAATGTACCCTGGGAGACGTGGTGTTTGATGCCAGGAGAGTCTGGATGATTCCAGACAATGGTGTCCTTTTTATAGGGATGGACAATCTTAATACAGTGTTAAAATTCAACACAGTTACAGACAAAGTTGAGGAGTGTTCATTATTTGATAAAAATGATGATGGTGTTGATTCATTAGGTTCTTCTGTATCGAAGCAGATTCCAAAACCTTTTAATGCAATGAGTGAAGCCATTCAAGCTCTGACTAAAGTTTACCACATACAGAACTATGTGAACAGAGACAAGTTGTGGTTATTTTTTTGTTATTTTGTTAAGAATGAACTTTTTGCACTTCCATCCTTTTCTTGACTAAATGCAAAAAGGTTTGCATTGAAAATATTGAGAACTTATTGTGTACATGTAAGAATAAAAACACTACACATGTATTTAGTTTTTATTTGCTTAATATACTAGACAAAGTACATATAGTGTCCCATCTAAAACTAGAGGTACTGTGAGCAATGAGCTCACTAAATGATACCCCTCGCCTGTCATATGATTATAATGGAAGAAATCCATGTTTTGCTGTAGCCGGAAAACCCAAAATATGTGTCAGATCAAAAAATAAAATAGGAGGTGCACAATAGCAATATGTAATAAAGATTCTGTGAAAATTTCACAAAATTTCACTCAGTAGTTTAAGAGGAGTTGCGGATAAGAGATGGGTACTCTAAAGCATAACAGACGTACGGACGAACGTACGTACAGCTGGAATGACAGACGGACGGACAAACCGATTACTATATACCCTCCCACTTCTGTTACGCTTTGGGGTACCCATTTCTTATCCGCAACTCCTCTCATACCGCTGAAGGAAAGAGCCATAGCTGCCTTTCCGACGACACGGCCTACTCAAGTATTTAAAAGGAAATCGCCTGTTTCTATTTATAGATACATGTATCTTTTCAATTCAAGATCATACTACATGTACATGTATGTAATAATCATTTGTGGACCAGTGTTATTATTTTCATAGTTGCAAGTTTGTTACATGACAATCATTTAAATAGTTCAATACTCTTATTCTAAACAAGACTTTTAGAAAATCTTAAAAATAAAACAAGATAGCAGCTACGACTTAGGGTCATTAAAATAGTTTAGGACCGTTTTTCCGGAGACACTTTCAAGGTGCAATGTTGTATAATATATCTTTTACATTATTTATACACATATTATAAAATAGAAAGAGAAAACTTAAGAAAAATGCATAGAGAGAAAAAAAATTGCATAGATAAAAAAAAACTGAGGGATTCGAACTCACGATCATTATGTTTACAGTCCAGCAATCAAACCACTACGCCACGAAGTCATTGAAATCGATAGGATAAATTTAAGACAGATTGTTGATTTTTAAAATAATATGAGAAGAAAAATTAAATACATATTTTCAACATTTTCAATATGAAGACCACCTTTAACAAAATTTATCTAAATGTAATGAAGTGTAGTCATATAAGAATAAAATTATTCAGAAGTTGTTTTTCTGGTTAAGGGTGGTCTTTAGCTACAGTTTGTCATTGTTCAGGGGGATACCTCTGTATTTACTATATTCTCTATATAAAATGAACGATTTCTATATCTGTCATATGAGGGATCTATTAATATTTAAATATTACTTTTGTGTGATTTGCTTTAAGGCATGTATAAACTAACATTGTATGACAAAATTTTGAGTAAACAATGTATTTAAAAAATCACTACTAGAGTAGGCGAAAGTGACTACCAAATGCGCTATGGCTCTTTAATGAAACTTTCACACAATCTTTTATTACATATTGCCATTGTGCACTTCCTATGTTACTTTTTGATCTGACATATATTTTGGATTTTCCAGAGCAAATCATGGACCCTGCCATTATATTCATATGGGAGGCAGGGGGTATCATTTAGTTAGCTCATTGCTCACAGAACCTCTAGTTGTTAATGAAATGTTCACAATTTATACCCTATAATTTTATTTTAAGTTTAAAGCAGAGATCATCAAAATAATATCGTTATCGGCCTACTTTAACAACGACCCCTTTCGTGGCGAAGCCGTGACAATGATTTTCAAGCAATGAAAAAAAACATCCACAGATACTGAGACTTTCAATTATCATATTTATCATTGAGGTTACAATCAATTGAAATTAAAACGAATATTTTAGTAAACAGAAAAAATTTTTCAACAATCCTACAGAATCACAAACCGAAGTTTGAATACAAATGCCGATTTATTTTCAGACAACTAACATCACAAGGCTCTTTCTGTCAAATGGAGAAAATATTATGAAAATAATTCTTTATTCATATGAGTTTAATTCAACAATCACTGACATTCACTGTGAAAGTGGGTATACTCATTTTATTTTCAGAAAACTAAAAGAACAGTTAGAACATCTCCTTGGCCTTCCCCTCAATTGAGAACTTAACTGGACCTTTTCCATCCAGTAGAAAATCTGGCTGACAGAAAAAGTCCAAATTAAGTTCTGGTTTTAAGTAATACTAGTACATCTGAAGTTGTTGTTAATTAAACAGACAAATACCCTTACATGTAAGTGATATGAAATATATGGAGATAACGAACAGCATGCAAGCTCAAAAGTCCATATAAAACTATACAATAAAAAAAATAGGAGCGGAGCAAACACGGACCTCCAAAACATCAGAGAATGTATCAGGTGCCATGGAGGAGTGAGCATCCACTGCCGACCGGTCACACCCGCCGTGTGCTCGTTGTCATGATCCGGAAATAACGGAAAAATCCGTTGTCAATTCAGTGTGTAAGTAATGGCCTAACCAATTAGTATATGAAAAACGTCAGCCAGCATTTGACTCGATGAAAAATTGTATTTGCTGACAAGGTCATTGTATCGACCATAGAAGCTATACGAAATGATGACTAAACGAGACTGCTGATATTCTTGTTTCATCAACTTGTTGGTCAATAATTTGTCTCGTTTTAGAAATTGTACATACATACATATGCTCTTGCGTATTGAATCAACTGAGAGATATAAACGCTGCATGCAGGTGATGAAGGTATATTGCTGCATAAGCTGACGATTGAAAAGTTATAGACATCACGTTTATCATAGAGCTTGGTTGTTAAATTATCATTAACATCTTTTTGATATGAAAAAGAGTAGGTTTGTTTTTGACAACATTTATGCATTTTTGTAGATTGTCCTATAATGATCTGTTGGAATTTCCATGGGTACTAATTGCACTCCATTTTTTTAGCAGAAAAATTTATGTATTACACGTAATTTGAAACAGGCTTTATTCAAAAACTTCTAAATGCAAAGAAGGCAAAAACGAAGTCTTGCTGTGACCTTCAATTCAACATTTAGTACAACGTTTTATCAGATATTTAGCAATACTCAGTATTCATTTTCATTACACATTGATTCTATATATCCTTTTGAACTCGAACTAAAAGATCTAGGCTTATAATACTTTTCATATTTGAATATCAATGATAAGAAATTTATATTTTTAGGCTCGCGAAGACCGGTCTCAACGAGTTTGAGAATGCAAAACAGTATTTTTAACTACACAGTCTTCTAGATTTGAAACATAGCATTTATAAATATAGTTCTTATCATTATTTATCATACATTTCCTAAACACTGACAACACCGTTATGATCCTTTACCTTATCAGCTGTACATGTATATGGTTTATATTCGTTTTGAATATTAGTTCTCGGATTTGATCAGCATGCAATTTAATTATATTTTAGGTTTTGCTGCTGTGCTTTGGGGTTTTGAAGGGGTAAACTGTGAGTATAATTTATTTAGATTACTGTATAAATATATCAGGAATTTAAAAAAACACTGTTGATTTAATTTAAAATATTATAATAAACAATTGTGTACTATTTTTTACCACCCTATATTTCTCTAAGAGTAAAATAAATATTAGTACTGAGCACACGACTCTTAAATAATATTTCATTCCCTAAATCCTTCCTAGACAAATGTAGTTGTTTATGCCATGTTGTAGATTCATGAAAGTAATTTATATTTGTTATAATATTTGTTGCTCAGAATAATAATTCATTGTTTTAGTACTTGCTGTTAAGATTTGAATGATAATATCTCTTACTTTGGAACCTACATGTATTTTAAATCCAAACAACCTTCAAGCATTCCCGAATTACCTCTCTCCAATTTTTCACCTAATCAAGTCCTACATTTATTTATTTATATTTAAAGGCGTGGGTTGTCAGCCGGGTTGGAATCAGTTTCAGAATAAATGTTACTGGTTCAGTCACACTACAAGACCATGGGGTGAGGCTGAGGTATGGTACTCAAAGACTTTGATGATACTAATTAACTTCTTTCAGTTACATGTACATTACATTGTTTCGTTGTGCTGATGAAGTTAATATGGTTATTTAATAGACTGTGTCCCTGCTGACAAAGCAGGTAACAACATTGTCTTTGTTTGTAATGCTCATTATTTCAATTGTGAACTTGAATTCTACAAGTGGTAATCCAACTTATACTCATAGTTACATATCTAAGGAAGAAATTCTTCAAAATCGTATGTTTGTTTTGAATATTTTTAATTTCCCGAAGAACCAAAATGAATTTGAACTACCATATATATACTGGATTCTAAAACTTCTTAAGAATCCTTACAAAGATACATAGCGGGTTCTAGTAAATGTTCAACTAAACCTCTTTCTTTACCCCTCACTAGGGTATTAACAGTAGTGATGGAGAAACTTCAACAGCACTGCGCAACAATATACATATATTCAAGAAGTGGTGAAAATCAGATGTGGATACTTAAATCAAGGAATTAAATTAACTTAAATTTGACTCAAATTCAAAGGGTGTGAGAAGATTTACATTTTATTTTTCCTTGCAATTTTTAAAATTTGATTTGCATTTATTGTGTGATGATAAATATTTTGCAGGCTATATGTTTAGGTTTTCAGTCTAAATTGGCAGAACCGAGGACACATGCAGAGTCAGCATATCTTATTAGTCATTTTCAAAGTCTTCGTAAGTATAAAGCATTAAATGTTTCCATTACTTCGTAGTACTCATTTCCTGATAGTGATTTTTTTTTTTACTAAGTTCAACATATGCATCATGTACATACGAGGGGTTATCAAAAAGTTCGTGGACTGAAGCTATAAAATTAGTAGTATGTAGTCTGTACTTTCAAAATTTATACGGATCAGAAAACAACACAAAATAAAGAAATGTTAAAAATTTTAGCCTAATACGTTCATTATTTTCCAAATTATTATAAAATGAAAACGACATTATATGATCACCCGGCGCTGTCGTCGTTTATTTTCATGACGTCCGATAACGTCATTGTTTTTTCAATGTCCTCTTCTGCAACCTCATACACTTTCTTGATGAGATTCCCCGGAGCTGAGTAAGGACTTAAACCCACCTTGTTTATATGACTTTACAATGTCATGAACAGTGGCCTTCAATTAATATAATATTTCAGATGGATTAATACATTGAGAGAGATCCGCGCTTGATTGTGCCGGCACATTTTGCTTTTGGTAGTTCAATATCTACAACACATGATCAACGTCATTTTTGACGAGATTGATTTTTCTCACCTTGACTGCTAATCGACATAAACTGTGTATTCCTTTACTATCTGAATCTATTTTGGTATTAAAAGACATGTACTCTGGATGCATATTATTTCTCTGTTGCCGGTTTCAGCATATTTTAGGTCTATACTATTTTTTTCAGGGGCAAATCTTTATAGAATGTTAGAAACGGAAACCCCTCCCCCTTTTGACATCATTTTCAAGGCCTCATTTGGTTGGATATTCCGTGTAAAATTTACGATAGAATTTTATAGAACTTCCAGAATGAAGTGAAAATTTCATATTTTATAGAACAATTGTGTCCCGACACATACCTGAATTGACGGGATTTTTGGATATCAAATAATCATATCAAATGAGTTTTTCTCAGTTACAAAAATGTCGAAAAAACGTCGTTTTCGAGGTTGCGCCGCCTGGACATACCATTGCTTACAAAAACATTACTAATTTATTAAAAAATAAAACTCATGATTTGTGGTTTATTCTTTGGATAGAAAAGATGATGCTAACTAGATATTTCAAATTTCATTTATGTACCTTGAGCGGTTTTAATTTTATGGCGCTAGTCCACGAACTTTTTGATAACCCCTCGTATACCTTATAATTATCAAATTTTGACTAATATATTAAATGTTATGATAATATCATACGTTTCTCAATGAGAGAATTTCGAAATATAAAATGAGAACCAAAAAAAAAATGGAATTTTAGATGACGCCAGATTTTATTGGATTGGAATCTCAGACTTGATAGAAGAAGATCGCTGGATTTATTCTTCTGACCAGCAACCCATCGCCGTGAACGACTTTTACCCTGGTGAGCCTAATCAACATACAGATGCAAATTGTGCAGCATTGTGGGATACCGGGCATGGTAAATGGGCCGATGAGCCATGTGGACACGTTTTTAGATTTGTATGCGAAGCGGAGTTTGAGTAAGTATTGCTCTCATTGAATTTATCAAGAATTAGTCAGTATGATACACCAGTAAAGCAAAAAAAGTTTTTGAGAACAATAATATATTGGCTTGTAATTTTTATTGATTTGAAAGATTTCCGTTGGCTTGTAATTCCGCGGTATCATTTCATCTCTATAAGAAATTATAATTGAAAAATATTGACTACGTTTACTGAGGGAATAATAACGAACTACAATTACTATTAATTGTTGTAGTAAGATTTAATTAGACTTTTGATTAGTTTCAATCTCAAATTTTCCAATGGATGCGTGTAGAGAAATGAAATATTACAATTCATGGTCATGTTTAAAAAATTGAAATGACCAATATTGTTTAATATCCAGATGGGCCGGAATTGAATTACAATTTATATAATAATACTAAGTAATATATACATATACAACATGAACTAGGGGTCTTCTGTGGGTTAATTCAATACAAATGGGACTAAGTTAACCTTAATTTGGTTCAAAAGCCCAGGGAGATATTGAGAAAATATATATTTTTCTGATAATTCATATTTTCATTTACTTAAGTTTATAGTTTTTCTCCGAAATTATTCATTTTTTAGATCTTGGAATCATTTATTCCGTAATTTTTATGAAGTATGTCTGTAGTAAACATTATTAATATGTACACTTTGCCTTTACAGCGAAGGTGGTGATATCCTTGGATAAATGCGACTCTGTTCTTTTTGTGGTGTGTCAGATATTATAATAAAGAATCATATAGTATCATGCAAGTTTTTAGTGTTAAATTGGTCACTTATTTGATGATAGGTCATTAAATTAAACATTCTATATTCTGCATTCTAAGTATACTATGTATACTAATTACAATCGTACAATTTATCTGCAGAACCGAAGCCTTATGGTTTTATAAATCTACAGATCCCGTAATTTAAAAAAAGTGCAATTTACGGCGCAAGCTTTGTTGCCCACTTTTGGGAAGAATGTGTCCACTTTCCAGCATCGACCATTCAGCTACCTTGTATTCCCTATTTCGGACACATTCTTTCACCAATCTGTTTATTACATTCACCTCCCAATCCTCTATAGTCGTCTCTACAAGGGATAAACTTGTCTGATTTGAATTTATCTGTTGGATTGCAGTAAAAAAAAATCAAGCAACGCACTTCAAGTTTATCGCTAAATCTTGGTTACTGCACAAGGCTAACTTACAGTGAACCTAAACGAAGGCTATTTTTAAACTTCATTCTAGAGGTCTGGATCATAAATTGGACTTTTATGGAAATCAAAATTATTAAAAGAACGAGGGCGCTTTTGATTGGCATTCGGCAGGAATCTGGGCGTAATGGAAAAGTGAAAGTTTCATCGACATGTCACATGAAATAGTAACATTTTTTTTAATTTATCGGGTTCCTGTGCAACAGGAAAGGAGAATATTTTCCCGAAATTGAGCTTTGATTTGCTAAAAAATAACTTAAAATTGGGCATATCAGATATTTGGTACAAAATGGTACATTTTTTAAAAACGTTTTTCTAAAATATTTCTATCTATAGGTCCTCTCTCCATGATTTTGAAACGTTATTGTCCCCGGCTTGAAAAGTGGGGGATATTAATTTGGGTTTGTCCGTCCGTCCGTCTTTCTGTCTGTCTGTAACGCTTTCGTTTCCACACGATATCTCAAGAACCCTTTAAGCTTTTGCAATGAAATTTAGCATAGCAACTCCCTATGGACTAAAAAAAGACCCCTATTGATTTTGAGGTCAAAAGGTCAAAGGTCAAGGTCATAAATAAGCAAATTCTGTCTATTATAACACTTTCGTTTCCACACGATATCTCTAGAACCATTTGAGCTATTGCAATGAAATTTTACGTAACAACTCCCTGTGGCCTAATGAAGACCCCTATTGATTTTGAGGTCAAAAGGTCAAAGTTCAAGGTCGTAAATTTAAACATTCAGTCTGTGTGTAACACTATAATTTCCGGGCAATATTTCAAGAAGATTTTGAGCTTATGCAGTGTAATTTTATACCAAAACTCCCTAGGACCTCTCTCACCTCTCTCAAAGTGCCCCACCCCGTTTGATAGTATTACATGTCGCTATTTTTAGCACAGGGGCATGAGGAGAGTTATTGCGTATAAAACAGGTTCTCGGCGGACTTTATGTTCTTATTACATCTATTAGAACTGTTTAATAAAGGCTAAATAAATCAAACACCATGGATTGTGTAAAATTTTTAGAATACCGAACATGAATATATACATGTATGTGACTTTAGTTCTGCATATACTTGATATCACGAAAAGCGATTCCATGGTCCAGTGGTATGTCTCTCGCTTCCAATGTGAGAGGTCCCGGGATCGACTCTCGGACGATCCTTTTTTTTCTTTTTCTTTTTTTAAATACTTTTCTTTTACTAAATGATAGTATTCAGCATGTGAAATGAAAAATTTATGAGGTTATAAAATCATCATTACACTGTGATAAATATTCCATATAAAAAGAATCTTCTATACACATAATAAAGAATAAGCAATCAAATCTTTATATGCATGCATATTGACATACAAGTATTTTATTTGCTTCAGTATACATGTATACATTTAATAATTCTACAAATTCAGTCAGGGGGATCCAACTTTTTCCCTAAGCGGGGGACACGAATTCTCTGAATTAGCTTGTTTGTGTGTATTTTAATTTAAAGAAACTAATACACATTTTTAAAAAATGGAGAGAAGACCCAGAGACCACGAAAAATGAACTTTTCCCCCAAAAATCCAAATATGTGAATGTGGTGCTTCTTTGGCCTTTTTAAATCATCTGCATATGTGTAGCGGTGTTAGCTCAGCAAGTAGGACTACCTATTCAGTGCGCTCAAAGCGAGAAGTTTTTTCTGGTTCGAGTCTGGCATGGGGCGTTAATTTTTTTTTCAAGCAAACAACCATTTATTTTGTCAGTTTTGTTTTATGTACTGATGTATTAAAATTTTGAATAAGATAAATTTTGGTTCAGATTGGTTCTCGAGCGAAATCAATTCCAATCTTCTATTCTATAATGTACATGTACACGTATCATGCATCTATGCATTAAATATTTTAGGTGTTTATTTTTTGTGAAACATTACTAAGTTATAGTACCCCCTAGGAAAAACGATCTCACAAGGTCTTTCAAACTAAATGAAGAAAACCCTTATGGACGTGTTTGTAACATCTGACCAGCTATGTTCAGCCAAAGGAATCATGGACATTTAAACCATAAATGTTTCGCACAAATGATTCCTGCAGATCGCACGCCCATCTTCTTTGTCTTTAACAAAGTTAACCTATATGCGTGTTACTATAGTATTCAAACATGACTATCTTCTTAATGAGAAATTGCCCTGTCATAAGACCGATAAATCTAAAATTTGACAAATCAATGAGCATACTTCCATTGTTTAAACTAAAATTTGCTCAATAAAAACAATAATTAAACATCCTAATTAAAAAAATATTCGAATTCTAGATTATAAGATACAGTATATTTTTATTCAAAATTCTGTTTCCATTTAATGAATAGAGTTGAAGAAATCAAATACTGACCCTTAATAAGTAAAGGTCACCATGGACTTTTATGGCGAAAATAGTTTTATATCTTAAACACAGAAATAAAAAAAAATAATCGGGTACCTATTTATGTGTGTATTTTTTGGACGTGCTTTCAAGAAAGTTTTACTCATACAGAGATGCAATCGTTTGCCGGTTGAGGAATGCAACTTTATAAATGTACTCGGGACTTAAGGTATTTCAGGAAGTGGATATCTTTTTATATGCCAGCATCACTAAAACAAGGGACCTCGGTTTATACGGTCTCATCTAGAAGGACCAGTCTCAACGTTCTCAGTGGAATTCGAACCTGCGACATTATGATCAACCCCATACTGTGCAACATGAAAACGCAAAAATCCCCCGTAAATTTATTTTTTCTTTAGTCTTCAGAAGATGGAGAAGATTGAAATTAACGCACAGCGTCTAAAGATTGAAACGTTTTCTTTTTGTGTTTTTAAATACTCATACTGTTATCCTATTATTTCAAAGACCAAATTCAGTACATTCCATTTAATTGTAATCGCGAATTCAGATACTTTTTAACGAATTTGTGCAAAATCTTATGCGTTACAACAGAAGAAAACACTTGCAGTGGCCTTCAACTAAACATTTAGATATATCCATGACGTATTGTCAATTAACAATGGTAATTTCCATTCCTATCTCGATACGATATATCCTGGGCGCTTGAGATAAAAGATACTACAGAGTTTGACACATCTGCTTCATACTTGGATATTTTACTTTAAAAAGACGTAAATGGTAATCTTACCACCAAGCTCTATGATAAACGTGATGACTTTAACTTTTCTATCGTCAACTTCCCTTACTTATGCAGCGATATACCTTCATCACTTGCATACGGAGTTTTTATCTCTCAGTTGATTTGATACGCAAGAGCATGCTCGACATTTTCTGAAACGAGGTAAGTTATTGACAGGCAAGTTGATGAAACAAGAATATCAGCATTTTAAAGTCATCATTTCGCAAGTTCTTTGGTCGATACAATGACCTTGTCAACAAATACAATTTATCATTGAGTCAAATGCTGACTAACGTTTTTCATACTAATTATTGGTCCATTATGTATGTACTGATTTGACGACGGATTTTCCGTTATTTCCCGATCATGACAAGGAGCACACGGCGGGTGTGACCGGTCGGCATAGGATGCTCACTCCTTCATGGCACCTGATCCCACCTCTGATGTTTTAGAGGTCCGTGTTTGCTCTGTTCCTGTTTTGTATTCTTTTATGGACTTTGATACTGAATACTGCTCGTTATCTCAATATCCTTAATAAGGAATTATGTTTTGATTTCGAAAAAAATAAACTTTAAAACTTTCGGTGTCTGTACGTACAAGCATCTACTAGTTGATAGATAACATGAGGCATCGGGTTTTTTTTTCTCAGAACAATTTTATAACCCAGTTAGTTTATTCAAATCTTCAGCAAGCAATTTATTTTCCTGTTAACAGATATATTTTACGTAATGTAGTTTGCATTTAAAATATCAAGAAGCGGCCAATTTGCAGTAAATCAAATATTTAAAAATCCCACTCATTTAAATATCATGATTTAAGTAGATCGAATTCTCATTTCAATTAATATTATATACGTACATTTTACCGAAGTAACTTGTTTACATATTAGTAACTTATCAAACGTTGACTGGAAAATAAGTTAGATATAAAGTAACCACTATTTTTTTATGAGTATAAAATGGTAAGACAATACAATTCTACGGTCATTTATTGGCGTACGTGATATATATCAGCTTTGTTAGGAATATATGCCTAAATCTGATATAAATACCCCTTTAGTTTTGCTGTAATTCAAAAACTATCGCAAAATAAATTTTTATACCCCCCGCAAACGAAGTTTGGGGGGTATATATGAATCAGCTTGTCCGTCTGTCCATCCGTCTCTCTGGCTGTCTAACTGTCCGTCTGTCTGTGCAAACGTGTCCGGTCCATATCTTTCTTATGGATAAACTTGGTAGGTTCTAATTTCACACAAAGATTGCTCATGACCTAAGGATGTGTCATGACTTTGACCCAAGGTCATCTGTGCATGTTCAAGGTCACTGAAAGAAAAATTTCATAATTCGTGTCCGGTCCATATTTTTTTATGGAAAAAATTTAAACGTTGCTTTTGACCTGAGGTTATGTCATGACTTT